ACTGTGAGAATCCTAGACCAAGCTAAATCCAAAAACGCTAGGGAATTCCTGGAAGCTTGGCATTCAGACAAATATCCATCAATAGACACGTAGAAATAAACCACATTTACACACCATTCAAAAGAGAGAATAAAAAAAGCTAAGAAGGGAACAAAAAGACCAGAACACATTCTCTCCATCAGCCAACCCTCATGTAAGCAGGGATTAACACCAGACAAACAATACCCTAATCAAGGAACTACCATGGAGAACTCCCCCCCTCACCAACACTGGAAGGGCTAGCTACTGTTTATAAGCAGGGAGCAAACCCCACACTCACTAGCACTGATTATGTTACCTAGTCAGGTAATGAAATGTCTGCAAGCAAACAACCAAGCTCAGAGAGCACTAAGCACTACACTATAAAAACTTTTTAATCAGATTTGGTTCTGAGAACATCCATATAAGTAATTTCTTTTCTTTTTTCAGACATTTGGGAAAGAATTTTGAAATGATGTGTGACAAGTCATAGTGAAAATAACTTTGAAGGTTTTCTACTACTTCTCAGTAGTAGAAAGTTCACAAGTAGAGTAGCTCTTGGAGAATTGGGATGCTTGTTTCATTTATGAATCAATAGCAATAAAATGCATTCAGATCTCTAGTTAGAAGGTTGTACTCTTTCAGATAAGCTGTTAATTAGCTAGTTCAAATAATGCATACAATTTGCATGTCATAAACCATGATATTTTTCCTTTGGAGCATGGGTGGTCGTACTCTACATTTTAGCACTTCACAGCTGTGCAATAAATAGATATTTCCCAGAACATCATCAGAACGTTCTATCAAAATAGATACACTGTCAGTAGAAAAGAGGACAATTCATGTCCCGGGGGGGCTGGGGTCAGGAATCCAGTAAGACATTGACTAGGACTCATAGTGCAGGGAACCACAGGTTATCCCAACTCAATGCTACATCCCCTCATAGCCATCATCCCATTATCTAAAAGTTCATATTAAGCCTCTTTTGTAGTACATAGGTTTCCACCCACATAAGAGTCTCAGATTTCAGTAGAAGTCAGGAGCTTTTTAAGAAATAGCAGGAAACACTTGGTTCTTCTTTTCCCCACTCAGTGAAAGTCTCAGATTTCAGTAGAAGTCAGGAGCTTTTTAAGAAATAGCAGGAAACACTTGGTTCTTCTTTTCCCCACTCAGTGAAAGTCTCAGATTTCAGTAGAAGTCAGGAGCTTTTTAAGAAATAGCAGGAAACACTTGGTTCTTCTTTTCCCCACTCAGTGAAAGTGCAGTCCAACCCTCCACCACGTGACAGATAACTATACTAACAGAAAAATTGCTATCCCTATTGCCAATCCCTATCCTCTCTGTCAGCTACTATTCTTTCTTGTTGATGAAAGGTGGTGCCCTATTTTTTATGTATTTCACCATGTTATAGACCATGATTTTTTTTTTCCTTTGGAGCATGGGCAGTCCTACTCTACACTTTAGTACTTCACAGCCCTGCAATAAATAATCATTTCGATAAATTGAGACTGCTTGTAATGTCAGCATTTCATAACATTTAGAATGCTAAAATAAACAATGGGACTGTTGTTGAATAACAGACTGTAAATGGCTCTGGGATCAGTGGGTTTGATAAATGGTGTGTTCTCATACCAATATAGAACATGTGCTTTGTTAGGATAGAAATAGATCTTGGGAAGTAAAGACCTATTTAAGAGGGCCTTTCCCTTCCATCTTAAATCAAGACAAGTTCCTATAAACATGGTGTCTCAGGCTTTGAAACATAAAATCAGCAACTTCAATGGTACTCAAACAACAGCTGGCAATTCATGTAGATCTTTTAATAGGGTGCATGTTCTGAATCGCACTGGTAAGCAGCTTTGCAGATATATTCTGCGCTACTTTAAGCTACCAGATACTCTTCAGGGATAGCCCAACGAGGAAGATACTACAGTAGTCAACTCAGAATGTAACAGGACACATTAGTAGTGCCAAATCCCCTGACTCAGGAAAGGCTGCAGCTGATGCACTAGGTGTAATTTGCCAGTGCACTCCTTGCCTTTGTTGACATGTGGGAATCCAAAGAGACCTATTGTCAGCTTTGCAAGGTAGTCCAGACAGGAAGCACACCCAGATGAACTACAGGTAGTCCTCAGGTTACAACCACTTGTTCATCAACCATTCAAAGTTATAATGGCTCTGAACTGAGGGGACTTATGACCAGTCTGCAAAGTTATGTCTGTCGCAGCGTCCCCATGCTCATGTAATCGCGATTCAGGCACTTGGCAACCAGCTCCCAATTATGACGGTTGTAGTGTCCCACGGTCATGTGATTGCCATTTGCAACCTTCCCTGCCAGCTTTCCATAAGCAAAGTCAATGGGGTCCCAAGTCACTCCCACTCCTGCTGCTTTTTTGCCCACCTGTCCTCAGCACTCGCCTCCCCCCTGCGCTCCGTAGTGCCTGCCTGAAGCACCCAGCAGCCCACCTGGGCTCCTAGCACCAATCTTGTTCTGCCCTTTCCAGCTGCCCCATATCTAGGAAGCTTCCTTCCTATGGAAGTGAAGGGCCAGCTCCTGGAGAGAATTTCCATAGAACAGAGAGCTACACATATCTTTGAGCAGTTTCTTGGGGTGGTCCACATTCTAAAAGTGGGTAGGGCAAGGTCCAAAGCAGGTGATGTCATTGAATGTTTAATCGTTTACCTAAACATTTATCTGCATGTAGCCCATGTCACACACCCTCATAAGCTTTCTTTCTGTCTCTCTTCTCTCTCTCTGTCTCTCACACACACACGCACATAAACTTTCCATTCCTCTTTCCAGACCTGCACCCCCCCAGGCACAAGTAGAGGAATATGGAGGGGTGGGGACAAAGATTAGAAAGAAAATTAAAGGAATCTGAGGTGTAATGTAAGGTGAGAAGGGGGAAATGGGAGGAGGAAATGGCTGAGGCAATGGGATGGGAGGAAAGAAAGGAATAGAAGATTGACTGCAGGGACCAGGTGGGGAGAGCAAGGTACACTATTGTTACAGGTTGCATTATGATACTTTTTTGTACCTGTGCTGCAGACATATACTTTACTTTTTTTCTGTATTTGATAATACACTCCATTGAAAAGCTCTGTCAAGACAATATGGAAGTTTCTTTCCAGTGGTGTAGATCTGTTGAGGCATGAAAGACATCACTTGGTATAAGATTATGAAAGAATGAGCTCCTGTCATAATTTTATCTAAATTTTGATACTTCATCATAGAATGCTCTATTCTGTAGCCCAGTGGTACCCAACCTATTGGTTCCCAAGCCCCCAAATGGTAATGGGTAGAGCACCAAAATACTAATCAGAAAGCTAAGAATAAAAAACCCTGTATCTATAACACCTATCTGGAGATTTTGAGGGTATCACCTGTCTGGTTCACAGTGTAGTTTTTCTAATGAATGTATCATTAGTGAAGGAGAAGATCTTCCTGAAATGCAGGCTCTTCGGGTATTAGTCCATTTACATTTATTTTATTTTAAAGGGAATGCTTGGTATGTAGGGGGAAAAAAACATAATTTATAGAATTTGAAGTTGCATTTATCTGCATCAGCAAGAATATAATAAGCTATGGAATGGAATTCCTGCTTCACTTGCTTCAGACTGGCTAGTTAACTATCACTGTGGCTACACCTTTTCAGCAGAAAGGTCACATTTGCATCTTTTTTTCCCCCTTAATTACTGCAACCTCCATTGTATAAAGTGAGAAAGGATGAATTGAGTTTTTCATTAAGAAGATGTATCCTCCAACTGTGCATCACACAGTACTGGAACTTCACTTTTTGGCAGTACACCATGGCCTCTAATGAATGTTTTACTCTGTTGATGAGTCCTCTTCACCAGTAAATATATTAATGAGTCATCAGCAGCAAATAGATATTTTTAAATCTAGCTTGTTACACATAACAAGTTGCATGCAATTGCTAATACGGTTACCAAGTTTTTTTCTTTTTCTTTTATTCTAGCTTATTGTTAAAGTGCCAAGAAAAGTGTTAGAACAGCTAGGATGGGCAGAGTTTGGGGCACTTTCATGTATGATTCTCAGTAAATCTGTTTGTTCCATTCTATTTCCGTGAGAATTCATATGGGGGTGGGCGGGAGAGAATAATTTGGAATCCATATTAATTTGGGAATAAAAATATTGTTAAGTATTTTATCTGAGGGCTTCTTCTCTTCTTTTTTCATATTTTCTACAGCTGTTAGTTGTCTGAAGTAGCTAGCGTGCATATTTCATGTTGCATAACTTGAAATATGGTCCAAGTTGTCCTTGGAGCAATGGGACTTCATGATGTATCATTATTCTCAGAGAGATTAGGAACACGGTACTTTTAAATAATAGTCTCTCCCATAGGTTCAGGAATAAAATATTTTTTCCCATACGATCTACTTGAAGTGGTCAGTTGCTCTCAGCAGGAACTGCAGCCATATTTTCATATTCTAACTCCTTTGGGCATCTGGAGGTTGTAAAGAACAGAGAAAAGAGAGTCACCCTTATTGTGGCATCCAGTAGAAGTGTCAATTCCAGAATAAATAAACCTCACTGGACAATCCAGTTTTTAAGCTTTTAGTAGGAGTACGTCAATGTTGGGCTTAATCAATTATACAACAAGGTTTATAAATGTTTGACAGTTGCTGGAAGATACAGGTAGAGAACAATCCAATCCTTCATCTCAGGAATGTCTGCAAGAGGGTCAAAAAACATCAAGATGGCAGTTACAACCAGGCAATGGAAGCCCTGCCCTTTTTTATGTGGATCATGACACATGTAGAGAAAGGGATGGGGTATCCATCACATGGTCATGGCTGCCATCTTGACTATTTGACCCCCCCCCCCTTGCAGACACCTTTACTTCATCTCAAAGAATTATAAGTCATAATACCATGCTGGACTGACAGAGAGGGAGTGGAGAGATGTTTGTCCCAGCATTTTTGTTTGTTTAATTGTTATGCTGTAATAAAGATTTGATTTGATTAAATTGCTCCCATTGCAGGCAATGGGAGAGAAATGGTTTAGAGGAGTTCAGTGTCTATTCTAAATTTCCCCCACTCAGCCTTTCCTAGCATGCATCTTATTCCCTCCTCCCAATACCAAATTACAGTGTCGGGGATCAAAAACAGCTTCAAAGGTGGTTAGGGAGAATGGAGAGGATTTTCCGGTATTAGATTGTCTGTAGGAGAGTGGAGCTCTTTTTCTAAACCTGTTGTGGGAAATTCAATTAGCCTCAGATTAAAGCTTTCAAATTTATAAAGAAGAGGTGCAGTAAACTTCAGTCAGCTGTAATTTTCAGTGCCTGAACTCCTGCTTCTTTCCTTGACCTATTTAGATGCTTTACTATCCTTACAAGAATGCTTCATCTCAACAAAAAAAAAAAAATCACCCCTGCTTAGTTCAGTGCCTGGCACCTAATAAGATGTGAGTTAGCTGCCAATCTTTGGGGGTAGCTAAACTTTTGGGACTGTTGAGAAGGCTTGACAGTGGGGTATCTAGAGACGGCATTCTGTCAGTGAAAGGGCCTTCAGCAATCAAATTGGTTGGACTTCAAAATACCACAAGGCTTTTTCTTGTTTTTCTGCTATCCACTATTGAAAAGGGGCTTAATATGCTTGAAAGCTTGATAGTAGTTTGCAGACAAGGGATGGTAGGCAGAAGTGTTCAGTACATACCTCTCATGTGACCTTGTTTGGGAACCCTTTTCCTAAATTTACCCATTGTGGTCTGTGCTGAGCATGACAGCTTCAGTCAGATTAGCAGTTGACTACTTATCAAAACAAGAAGAAATGTATAAATTGTTCACTGTGTATCGATACAGACAAAGGGGTATGACTCTATGCAAGAGATGTGAGAAATACATTAATGGTGGTTTAGTGGGGTTAGCATTGTTCTGAGTAGCCACAATGGGTAAGACTGTATAATGCAAAATTTTGGGAACTTACCTTTTTTCCTGGTTTTAGGGAAAGCAGTTCTTTATTTTAAAACTATTTTAGGGCATATACTATATTTTTGAACTGTTCATTACCATAACGTGGTGGAAGGAAGGAGGGAGGAATGGATTCAGGGATATGGGTTTGTACCAGCAGGAGATTGTTTGTACAAAATCTTGACATTTATAGAGAATGAAGAAAATGAATCTTAACATATCCCTGTTTTTCAGAAATCCATTGTAAGTTGCATATATCTGAAACAACTCAGAAAAAATAGTTGAAATGCAAATTATTTATGTCATTAAAATACATTACATTTCTTACCCAGTCTCACAAATACATCTCTTATAGAGTCTCAAAGCTTCTAATAATTTCAGGAGATGTTTCTAGTTGTTTTCTGATTACTCATCCTCTACTCTTGAGCAAGATTTTAAGTGCTCTGCATAAGGACTCAGCACAGCAGTGATCTCTAATTACTGTTGACAGTAAGTTTGGAACTGATAGAGAAGAGTTACGATTGTAGAATTTTGTTACAAGATTTCTTGGAACTTATTTATGTTGTCTGATAACTTAAAATTAACTTATACCTTTCCCATATTTTCTGTTTCACATTCACTGCGTTAAGTTAAAAAAGGCTAGATTAGAACATTTGCTTTTTTTATACTGCAATCTGATATCCATTTTCCTAGGAGTAAGCCACAGTCAACCCAATAGAATTTCCTTCTGAGAAAACATATCTTTTTGATAAAGCTATTAGTTTCTGCATATAATAGTATTCTTAACCAGTTTTATAACATGTAAACTTTTGTATTCTACATGACTTTTATGATTGTTTGTGGGGGTGGAGGGACTAAACAGTCCAGTTTAAAGTACGTTCATTTAACTCAAAAGTATTACTGGGTGCCATAACTTTGTAAGAAACTATATTTCTGCAAAAAAAGTAGAACAATACACAGCAGATGCCATAAAGAACTAATGTTAAGTAAGCTCTGAGGAGTGAGCATTAAATATTTGTTAGAGGGTAAGCAAGATAAAATGATATGGATCATCACTTTATTATTATTTTTTTATACAGACATCAACTGCTACAGTGAATGTGGTTGTAACAGATGTAAATGATAATGGGCCAGTCTTTGATCCCTTTCTTCCAAAAAATTTTACAGTACAAGAAGAAGAAACCAATGCATTTGTGGGTCAAGTGAGGGTAAGATACTCATAGTATGCTACTATTAATGATTCTAATAACTTGAAATATTTTCTGTTTCTTTAGAAATACATTGTTCAGTGGGTAACACTGATACAATGTTCCTGTTCATGATACCAGCTTAGAGAATCATTGTCTGGTTTTAACTACTTCATTTTCTCTAGAAATTCAAATTAAACTTACAAATAACCCCATTCATCTCTGCCTTCCAACTGCCTAACTATAAACAAACTATTGGAGATGGAAAATGGGGCTTGATAGAGAAGTGTTTGAAGTAAAATATGTGTATAATTTATATTAGCTAGCATCCATTAACTTTCCCTTTTGCTATTGTTGGGGTAGTCATTCCACACCTCTTTGCAAACAGTTTTCAATATGTATGGTTGATCATGGTGATATAGTAAGAGATTGGCTGGCTTTTTACTCTGTGAAAACATATTCCTCTTGGTTGATCAAGATTCGTTGGAGTCATCCCACTAATTAAAAGTTCATTAACATTGTTCACTTCCACTTTAAAATTCCATGCAGAGCACCATTTCTGCTTGGGACAGTCAAGGGTAAATGCAACCTGATAAAGAGATTAACTGAGTGCTTCTCTTCCCAGGGTTACACAGTACAGAGGCACCCTTTCTTTTCTTTGCCCTGCCAACCCCAATGTTTACAAGTGAAAATAACATGCAGTTACTTCTTGTTGTATTTCATGTCCCTTTTCTGTTGGTGTACTTCAGCTTATCTGCACATTCCTGTGTCCACTACTCAGTGCTGAGTGAATGGAGAAGACAGTGTTGTTTTTTGTCTTGTTTTTCTTGGGCCATGAAATGCACATGCTCACTTGTGAAAGGAAGAAGCCACAGGAGGCTGTAGCTTGTCTCTTCATCTTCCTTTTCTGCCTCATGATAAGATTGCCAGCTGCCATAGGAACTTAGTTGGACTGGTGTAGCAGTTGGATGGTTGATTGATTGATTGATTGATTGATTGATTGATTGATTGATTGATTGATTGATTGATTGATTGATTGATTGATTGATTGATTGATTGATTGATTGATTGATTGATTGATTGATTGATTGATTGATTGATTGATTGATTGATTGATTGATTGATTGATTGATTGATTGATTGATTGATTGATTGATTGATTGATTGATTGATTGATTGATTGATTGATAAAGTGAACTGGAGGCTCCAAAGGCCAATTTAAGCTTTTTCTCCCTTCTGGGAGCACAGGTCAAGGCAAGTACCCACTGAAGGCAGTTAGATGGCTGACTGGGAGTGAAGCAAGCAGGCATCCAACACAGTGTGGAGGCAACCCAACCCAATTTGATCCAAGAAAAAAGACTCTAAAAGCCATGACTCCACAAAGCAAGCCAAGCAACTGAGGCAGACGAGCATGATGGGACAGTGAGATTGGCCCAACTGAAATGGTTAAGTGACGACTTGAGTGATTTTGGTAGGCAGGCCGCTGAAAGCACAGAACAGCATTAAGCAGCTCGCTGAACCAAAGAAGCTACGGAAAATAGGAAAAGCATGATACAAGGGATTTCTGCCCATCATCTACTGTCTTTAATGTCACTCATCTCTTTTCTTGGTTTGTCTCATGAGAGAAGAACAGTAAATGGAACTGAAGAACTATAAAACCAAGTTGCATGAAGCAATAAAAAAAAGTAGAATGGGAATTTAAGGGAACACATTCTCTGGAACTGGGTTAAACTGGGTTAAAACTAGAGCTGATAATCTTTTGATTTTCTGTATGACACTGTTGTGTCATTTTAGAGTAGCAATAAACATTTTTTTAATCCATTTTGTGTTTTCTCCATACACTGACAACATATCATCTCAAACAGCTTTGAGATGTAGCCTATTTCTCTGCTTATATAATGGAATAGAATTTGTCAGTGTTCATTTTAACCTTTAAATACTGTGAAGTGCTGCAGTCTGTTTTGTTTTCATTTCGTATTTAAAGGATACATTAAGTTCAGCAGAATTTCTTTAGCAGCCAGTTTTGTTGAGTCACATAGGGTACGTATACATATATTGATCCATCACTTTATTCCATTTTGGGGTAAGCTGCATTATGTGGAATGCAAAAAAAAAAAAAAAGGAATAAGAAATAGCAAGCCAAAGAATATAAAAGAATGAGAAGAACCATAGCTAAGAGTGCTTAACCAAGTCTTTCACACTATTATTCCATACCCTTCTATTCTTGCAAACCATCCTGACTTCCATCATATCCATAGACAAATTTATGCACTATTTTTTGTTCTTTAAATTTCTCACTACTCCCTTTTTGTGGATCTTACTCATTTACTTCCTCTGCCCTTCTCTCTTCCATCATATATCTGTTCTGAGATTTGATCCTTTTTCATTCTCTCTAAATGACCAAACCATCTGAACATATTGTTGAAGGCTTTCATGGCCAGAATACGATGGCTGATGTGGGTCTTCTGGGCTGTGTGGCCATGTTCTGGCCGGCACTGTGCTCCTGCTCTCTGAAGATGCCAGTCACAGATGCTGGCAAAACGTTAGGAACCAAAACTTCCAGAACACGGCCACGCAGCCCGGAAGACCCACATCAGCCATCATCTAAACATACTTTTTCTCATTTTGGATATCACTATTGTATTCAGTCTGCATTTGTTCAACCCTTCTTCATTCTTCATCTTCTTTTACGACACATGCACATACTTCTTTGAAATTTTTTCCAATTGCATTCAAGCAACTTTTGTTTTTGTGTTGAGATACCCAACTCTCACTTTTATATAATAAAGTTTACTTTAAAAAAAACAATCCTTGCACATACTATTTTCTCTTCTTTTGACATTCATTCCTCAGAACACTACAACAGGTATCATCTGCTCCCTTTCCATTAGCATTTCCACATCTTAAAATTTATCTACCCATTTCCCCCTCTTTAATAAACATTATAAACAGAAAAATTAATTTACTTGCTGTAGAAGTAAATTAATTTACTTGCTGTAGTTTTTTTTCCCCATTTATGTATCACTTGCAGTCATTCAGTCTATTTTCCCTGTCATTTTCCCTAGTTTTTATTATATTCATTTTCAGATCCATACTCCTCATGAGATCATACAATCTATGTAACATTTGCTACAAATCATTTAGTTCCCAGCCAAGAAACATGGCATCATCTGCTTATAAAAATACCCATATATTCACATCCCCAGCCAACACATCTAACACACCAGCACAAATATTTATGTCCCCAGCCAACACATCTAACACACCAGCATGAGCATTCATTATACATTTTCCCATAAATATATTAAACAAGCAAGGGGACATCACACATCCTTGTCTTATTCCCTATTCTATAAGCATTCCATTTATTCTCACTTCCATCATATATTACTCTTATCACATTTATAAACCAACCTTCAACTCCATTCTCATGCAAAAGTTCCATCATTCAAAACTATTCACTTTACTGTACACTTTCTCTAAATCAACCAACATGCAATAAATTCTCAGATTCATAGCTGAAAAGCAAAAATCTGGTAGTATATCCCTTGTCTGGTATAATATTTTGAAATTTTGCTCAGTGTCTCAAAGTCACAATGGCTATTAGAGTTTTAGTTTAAGGCTGTAATGTTCCTAGATGAAACAACTTCTCTGGAGGCTAGCCCAGCTGAGTTGAGATGTGGATTTGGCATGATGAATAATCTTGATCACTTTGATAGATAATCTATACAGGGACAGAGACATGGAGAATGCAACATGGTTGATACTTACGGATTTCTCAATGACTTTTAATACTGTTGACCTCTGTGGGCACAGAGCAGGAGATTGGAGATGACACTTTGCACTGATCCTTCCTATCTCTCCAGAAGATCTCTCCTCAAGGACTCCTAGAGTCCTTCATGTTTCTGTTTTGCTTTCCATGTTGTTTAGTATAAAAATGAATCACTAGGAAGGTGATTCACAGTTTTGAAAAAGATACTGCTGATATGCTGATAATGTTGTGGTTATATGTCCCCAGAACAAGTGTATCCAGGCTATAAAGGACTGATCTGGAAGATCGAGCTGAAATCCAGCACATACAAAATGGAGTTTCACTGATGTCATGGGCTAGACTTCAAGATTTGGGAAATATGCCTTGTATGAATGCAGTTGCACTTCCCTTTAAAAATCAGCTTTTCAATCCATGTGGTTCTCCTGCACTGACACTGGGTAGCCATCAAAAAAAAAAAAGATGTGGGGTGGCTTTTCTCAGCTATAGCTCTGGCTGATAAACTTGCAGCATCTCTAAGTAGAGGAAAGAGTCCTCAATTTAATGACACAAGTTTATTTTACAAAATGTATATCCCATCTCATTCTGGGTGGATCAGATAAAAATATCAATATCAATAAACCAGCAGTTAATATAAAATATATATAACATTAAAACAACAATGCACCAGAGGCTATAGATCAAAAAATAGGAGAACCCTTGTAGTTTTCAGGATTCTCCATAGGAGTGAGTATTAAAAAAAAAGATGTGGACTATGTGAAGGGTTGAGGGGATTTGTACAGATTTGTATCTAAGAGGGAGGAAGGATTATAAGATTATAATTATATGCTGAAGAGAAAGTCAGAAGTCATTATATTTCATAATTTTAGTTTCTTTTTTTTTCTTTTCTTGCACCTTTTTCTTCTTTCTTCTTTCTTTTCTGTCTTTTTCTTTAGGGTTGACTTTTACTGTATGTAAAATTCTTAATAAGCATAAAAAAATTAAAAAGGACTCTTCATATGAGGAATCCCTCCAGAAGTAGAGTATTCCAGAGGGATGGGCTACCACAAAAAGTCTGCTTTTGAGCTCTTTACTTCAGCCCTCTAAAAGGGAGGGAATCTGAACCATTGTTCCCCTGGTTGATTACATAGGATAGCAGACACTATTTGAAGAAGGTAGTCCATGAGTGACATGAACCCAGGTCACGTAGAGCTTTAGATATATGAAAACCAGCAGCTACTCCATAAAAGTTAGCTGAGCTGTGAAGTTCAAC